ATATTCATGTTAATTTTGAGTAAGCTTAGAAAAAGTAATCTCCAGGTTACCATTCCAAAGTCTTTTTCTGTAGAATTTCATCAATCCATCCAAATCATGAAACCTTCCTTTTTTCTAGCTTTAAAGAAACACTACAGAAAATAGCATCTGTTGATACAAATAGTTTTCCTCTACTATAGGAATGCAAAGATCCTTGGACAGGGCAGCGGGTCAGTGGGAATCCTACTGCTGCCACCTGGCCCTGGTTTGTCCTCATGGAGGAGGTATTAGGACGGAGCCCCTCTGTTGCCCCACCTGTCCTAATTGCCTCCATCCCTGAGGACACACCAGGGCCAGGTGCTGCAGAGGCTGAGCAGCATCAGGGTGAAGATGAGGAAGAGAATGAGGATGAGAGAGGAGGGAAAGGAGGAAGAGAAGAAGGAGAGACGAGTTGCTTGATTTAATCAGGGAGGATATCAGATGTTATCAGTTATTATTTTTTTTCGTGTTTTTTTTTTTTTTAACAAGTTGAGGTTCTGTGTTGCTGTTATTGTTAAATTAAATTATTGTTTATAAAAGTTATTGTTGTCGGTGTGTTCTTAAAGTCTTTTAACCTTTTTACATAATCTGTTTCATCACTTCTTTATAATTTAAGTAAACTTAGAACAACATCTCAGTGACATCAGTTTATTTTTAGAGAAGCAAGTATTTAACAATAAACTATTAAAACATTTTTAACTATTGACATTAGATTTTAAAATTAACTACTACAACTATTTACAGAAGATAGAAAAAAATATTACTAGAGAACATATATATACAATTGTGACTGAGCAGGAGTCCCTGGTGGGGCTGCTGGTCTGGATGGAATGCCACACAGATGAGCTTGGAGTCTTCTGACTGCGAGTGGGACATCATCTGGGGGGTGGGGGGGTTGCCTCTCTCCACTGTTCACCACATCGTCCATCAGGGTTTGCAGGGCTGATCCAAACGATGGCTGCCATGTTACTAAAAATGTTAAAAAGATGCAGAAAAGAATGACTTTACTAAAACTGTTTTTATAACCCTGAAATGAGAACAGCTAAAATGTGATTCTACTTGCCATCTAAATGTAACGGTGGTCGGGTAGACCCTCCTCCAGGGCAGACCCTCCTCCAGGGTAGACCCTCCTCCAGGGCAGACCCTCCTCCAGGGCAGACCCTCCTCCAGGGTAGACCCTCCTCCAGGGCAGACCCTCCTCCAGGGCAGACCCTCCTCCAGGGCAGACCCTCCTCCAGGGCAGACACCTCGGCAGACAGCTGGTCCCTCCATGGAGCACCACTGACTGGCTCCTACACGTTCTCCCCTCCTTATCCTCTGGCATGTCGTCCTCTGGGGCCGTGATGTCACCGGCTCCCAGGCAGATGTGCAGGACAGCACATGCTGTTATGACCTGTAGAAAAAATATTTACTTTTATTCAGTCATCTATCTTTTTTTCATTATCTTTATTACATGATTTATTAGAAATTAAATTTTACTT